CAGATGAAGGAGCAGAAGGAATCAGTTAAGACCCTGATAAACTTACAGCTCTTTGCACTATAAAGACTAAAAAGCGTATTTCTCTATTAACTTGTGCCACATTTTTCTGTCAGCAGTATCACAATACTGTAATGTTAATACTGCACACGCATAGAGTTCTAACTCAGAAAGGACAAATGACTTCTCTTTCTTATTTTACAGAGACCAGAAAGAAGGTTCTGCTTGCAAACAGGAGAAGGAACATTGAAGGCTTTTTTATAAGTGGTATCAGGAGTGTCTATGGCACATTCCAGCTCTTGTCTCAATGCTAGATGTCATAATGACACAAAGAACAGCTGCATAAGGTTTTACCACCTAATATTGCACAAAGTGATTCATATCAACACACATTTCTTAAACCTAACCCTTCCGGTGGGCTGAGAGAGTAGAAGGCAGTCTTCAAACATATCAGAGGGCTGGAGCACCTCTCCTATGAGAACAGGCTGAGAGATCTGGGGCTCTTCAGCCTCGAGAAGAGAAGGGTCTGGGGGACCTTATAGTGCCATTTCAGTACCTGAAAGGGCCTACAGAAAAGCTGGGGAGGGACTTTTTGCAAGGGCAGGTAGCAACAGAATGAGTGGAAATGGTTTTAAACTGGAAGAGGGCAGATTTAGACTAGGTATTTGGAATAAATTATTTACTGTGAGGGTGGTGAGACACTGGAACAGGTTGTCCAGTGAGGTTGTGGATGCCCCTCTCCCTGGAGGTGTTCAAGGCCAGGCTGGAGGGGGCTTTGAGCAACTTGGTCTAGAGGGAGGTGTCCCTGCCTGTAGCACAGGGGTTGGAACTAGATGATCATAAAGGTCCCTTCCATTCTATGATTCTATAATTCTCAGTGTTTTCCTTGTAGCTTTCAAGAGCTGTTTGTAATAAAGCAATGCCTAGAACCATCTTTCAATGTCACAGGTGTCCCTAGTCTTCCCTAGGAGGCATGAAGAGGCAGAGAGGTTCTGCAACACCAGGGCTGCTCCCCATCACTTAACCTGAGGCACAAACTGCCTCAGCAGCACCCTTTCACTGCCTCCTCTCCCCGTGGACTTAAGCAAACCTCTTGGATTGTGCATCTGATTCCTGCCAGCAGGAGATGGTCCAAAGGAATATGCATACTGGGTTGCTGTGCGATGCTCAAAAAAAGCAGCCCCATGTTTCTGTTGCCTTCTGCCCTGTGCAGCCCTTACACCAGTCAAGTCTGGCCAACTGGCACCAAGCAGCACACAGCATCTCAGCCCACATGTGGTACAAGCAAAGGAGAAAGGTATTACAAATATGATTAGTGGCTTGAAGCATTTCCGATACGAGGAAAGGTTGAGAGATGTGGGTCTGTTCAGCCTGGAGAAGACTGTTCATAAATATCTAAAGTGCAGGAGTCTGCAACATGGGAAGTTCCAAACAAACGTGACAAGAAATTCTTTATTGTGAGAGCGACAGAGCAGTGGAATAGGCTGCCCACAGAGGCTGTGGGTTTTCCTTCCCTGGAGATATTCAAAAAACTACCTGAACGCTTTCCTGGGTGTTCTGGGTTTCAGTAGGGAACCTGCATTAGCAAAGGAATGGACTAGATGGTCTCCAGATGTCCCTTCCAACCCCTATGTGTCTGTGATTCTGTGATTTACAGACTGGGCTTCCTGAACGCACAACACTGCTTGAACTGCTGTCTGAGTTAAATGTAGGAGCAGCACAGATCAGACAGCCACTGCCAGAACTGCAATTGCAGATCCTAGCAACAAAGTAGCCAGACCAAGAATAAGCCCAGCAATGGTACAGTCACAAGAACCTTCAGGCATACACAAACGCATGTACACTAGGCAGCAGTAATTGTTCAAGTGCAACTGGACTGAAATACATTTCTGAGGATGTTTCTACGGTAACTTGGTTAAAACTGAGTTAATGCATGCTTTTGCATATCTTATTTTAAATTCAAGATGCAGTCTAAAAATTACCTTTTCATAATCTCAAGTTCTTTTATAACCTCGTTTGTAGGAAATTGTTATAAATGATATCATCTCTTCAATCAAGTCTTACGGTTTCAGTTTCTACGTTGAACATTTTCAGCTATGATTTTAAGAAATGTTAATCACACCTGAAGGTCTTCTCTGCTAATCACCTCATGCTGGTACCAACGCTGTTCTGCGTGGCGCCTTGAGACACAGCACTACTCATGAACCAGGCAGCTCCTGCACTAATTTCTAACATCAGGCAAAAAAACAAAACGAATGCATTATTTGTATTCCCAGTAATTACTACAAATATTTTTCTCCCTGGTTATAAAAAAAGATTAGTTTGAGTAACATCACCCCTGCAATGACACATACATACCACTGAAACTTTGCATTAATCACTGCAGGCAAACCATTAATCAGTGCAATGTGGCAACTACACCCCACTCCTCCTCCTCTGCGAAAGAAAAACTATCTTTGGGTGCAACGAACAAGCAGCAAAAATCCCACTTACAGGGCACCAACTTTTCAACATACAACCGTTTGCTCTCACTGGTTTCTAATGCAATGATTAGAAAACTCCCGCAACAACGCAGTCAGCCTGCTGTTCCAATACAAACCCTGCTCTGAGTAAAAACACTTACAGAAACACAGAGACAGTACAGTAACGAATTCTGCCTAAGTAGTATCCCCAACACCTGATCCTGTCTAACGCTAAAGCATACATTAATTTTAAGCCTCTAAGTAGCCCATTGACTTCAGCGCAGCGCATCCAGAAGAAGCCTAGAAGATTAGTCAAGCACTTAACACTGTTAGCAGATGTGCAACTCCCTGAATGGCTGGGAGGCCACAACGAACGCTACAGAATGTTAATGGAAAATAATGGAAGCCAGTACACAGGAGGGATCTTTTGCAAAAGAAAGGGTCATGTGACTGAGATCCTTCCAACGATTACTTGAGAGGCATATCATCACTGTGGGGGAAAAAAACAACAAAAACAAAAACCAAACAACACAGTATTTACTAAAACTCTGTTGCCTCCACTGTTTGTTTGTTTGTTTAAAGCAGCAGTACTATTTCTGCATGTTTATCACTCCGCACTTACTTGTAAGATTTTCCATTTGTTAGAAAATTAGACACTGAGATTTTTGCCTAAGTTAAAAGCAAATCCCTAGATACAGAGCAACTCAGACTCATGATGTGTGTTCTACTGGGCACCACATTTGGCAAAGTTTGTGCTGTTTTGCAAATGTATTGCCAAGTTCAGATGATCAATGTTCCCTTCCCCACGTTAAGATCTGAAATGCACACCCAATCATCTGCCCATAGGCTTTTCTTTCACCCAACCCCTTCCATCAGTTACATGCCACTCCTCTCAATAGGTCCTGCAGAGAAGCGGGGAAGGAAGTACCTACACAATGCAAGATGCAGCAGAAGTCTACAAAGAGCTTTTATTTAAAAGCAACATAACTTTTATACACATTTACATAGAAAGCCCCATTATAAGTACACGTATGGCCACGATTTGCCAAATGGCCAAAACCAGCCCAATTCCACGTTGTGGCTTACGTCTAGCGTAAGATAAACAGCTTCTACCGCTTCTGTAGCACTGAGGCACTTCAGACACATTATGGTGGCCCTTAAAGCACTGTAGAGCAAGTTTTATTCCAAGTAATATCATGGTTAATGTGGCAAAGCCATAAGAGATGCATTCCAAAAAGAAAGACCCAGTACAATACAAACCCCACTGCTAAAATTAAACGAAGGGAAACAGGGACTGGGCTCGTTAGAAATCTCCATAACCAAATACTTCTCTCCTAGAACAAAGATAAGAAAAAACAGGGGAATACTGGCAGTGAGTACTCACAGGTGTATAAATTTCATATTGTATTCTTCTCTGTTCTGTTTACAGTGACAGCTCCCTCCACGCCTATTTAGACTCAAACAACTCTTGGTATAGCAAGAAGATGCAAAACTCCCCAAAATACAAAGTCTGACATAACTCTACATCTTCAATTTGCCCTACAAAGGGGGTATTTAATACTTGAGGTCAATAGCAGCTGGCAAGAAGTCACACAAATGTAACAGCTGTATAAAACACTTCGAGAAGTTGTTTGAAAAGGGCATAATGAAGACTTGACAACAGGAGTGATCAAACTGTGCTGAGATCTCTGCTTTGGCATCATTCAGTGATGCTGTCTTCTTACACATTCTGAACTTCAAAAATGGGGTTACATTAAAAAAAAAAAAAATTCCAATCCTCCTTCAAGTTTTAAGTAGGGAAAAAAAACAATAACAGTTCTTACAAAAGGAGATAAATCAAAGCTATGTTTTATTATCTGCTCCTTTAACCTGCATTTTTTTGGCACTTTACAGTGCGATTGTGTCCCATGCCAACAGCCGCTGGATGGGGGGGGTGGGGAGATGGATGACAGAGGGAAGAGGTTTTAACTCTGGTACAAAACTTAAGTACCTGCCTGCTAAACGCAGCCCAACTCCTTAATATATCCTATTTATCTCCACATCTATTTATGTCACACGGGAGAACATATGAGCATAGCAGCTGTTACTATAGCAATGAAACTGGAAATTTTGAGAACACAAAAATCCACCACCGAAGGATGCTCGGAGTGGCAGAGATGGCTCAGGGAGCCAGCGGCTCGCTTATGGGGTCTGCACGAAGTCCGTGGTTACCGCGGAATTACATCTGGTCGAGCTCCCGAAGGCGCACGCGGAGCCCAAAGAGCGCTACCGATACACAGTTCTCTGTACCCAGAAGTTTCCGCCGAGCGCTCCCGAACTCTCCCGATGCCCACACCCGGGGCAGCGCTCTGCGGGAGCTCCCGGCGGCAGCGGCACATCCCTCCCGGAGCCGCGGCCGGGCTCACCCAGCGCCCCGAGCCGCTCGTTCCCCCGCGTCGGGAGACTCAACGCGCCCGAGGACGGGGCCGCGGGCAGCCAGACACCCTGCCCTCACCCACCCCCGCCCCTCTCCGCCCGGCCCCGTCCCCCCGCCCCGCTTACCTGCGAGGGAGCCGGGCCTCTGCAGGGTGGCGGTGGCGTACAGCTCCTGGGAGTGCTTGCTGTACTGCTCGGCAGCGTGAACCAGCCGCTTGGTGGGCGACAGAGTGGCGTAAGTGCCGATGGTGGAGCTTAACTGGTGAATAGGAGAGGAGGAAATGTTAGACTGGACGGTGGGCGGGGAGGTCACTCGGATGGGGGACGGCGACAGTCCCGCCGAGGAGACGACGATGTTGATGGGCGAGCTGGTGCTGTAGGACTTGGCCAGGCGGCTGGGGGACTGCTTCGGGGAGGAGAGGCGCTGCGCGCCGGCGTAGGCGGCGCCCTCGGCGGCGGAGCCGGCCCGCGGCAGCTTGGTGGGGGAGCCGCCGGGCTGCATGGGCAGCGGGGAGCTCACCCGCTGCGCCGGCAGCGTGGAGCTGGCGTAGTAGAGCGCGGCGGCGTGCTGGGGCTCGGGCAGGTGGAAGGCGCTGCCATGGCTGGGCGCGAAGGGCTCCCGCGGCTGCGGGGCGGCGGGCGGCGGCGGCTCCGTGCCGCCCGGCTGGGCGCCGCGGCCCCCCGGGCCCTGCTGCGGGAAGGAAAGGCAGAGGCGTCAGCGGGGCCGCGCGGGGACGAGGAGAGGCGGCGGCGGCTCGCCCGGGCCCCCCCCACCGCGCGCGGCCCGGGGCCGAGAGCCGCGATCCGAGAGCCGCTCGGCGGGAGGTGCCGGGGGGCTCGGGAGCGCGTCCGCCCGGAGCTCACATCGGCGACCCCGGCCCCTCTCGCGGCCCGCCCGGCCCTGCGGGAGCGCAGCGGGGAGGGAGGGGCGGTCCCGCTCCCAAAGCCGGCGGCCGGCTCCCATCCCGGGAGCGGGAGCTGATCTGCGGTTGTTAACCTGCTAACATCCGAACCCGCCGGTCTCCGAGCCCCGCAGCGAGGCAACTCGGCTCTGCCGACAGGCACGCTCGTGTTTCAGATGTTCGCTTGTTTATTTATTTAGTTTTTAACTTTTTTCTTATTCCTGATGATGCGGAGGATTTACATGAAACCTTAGAAAGTACTGCAAATCCCGTGAGCTGCAGTTCGAGACCGGCCAGAGCCTCGCCCCAACGCGCACCTCTCAACGAGGCTTCTTGAGCCAGAACTTCCTTTAAAATGCAAATAGTGCATTCTGTGACTCAGCTCGGAGTTGCAGTGAATGCCAACGGCAATGCTGCTTCACATTTAAAGAGAAACGTAGGATTTTTTTAGTCCCGTCCTACAGGGAAAAAAACAAAACAACAACCAAAAGCAAACAACCAAGTAAAACAAAATCACCGCATTCCAGCAATGAAACTTGGATACCCAACCGAGGATTTTGGTGAGGAACTGAGGACGAGACAAAAAAGAAAATAATCAGAACAATGCAGGTATGAGGCTCAAAATGCCACAAACATGCTTCTTTCAGTGTACACCTGCTGGAGATGATTCCATCCTTCGCTTTTTTTTTTCTTTTTTTTTTTTTTTTCTGTCTTTACCTTTGGGATCCCCAGAATTGTTTTAGGGATGGCCAAGAGGCTCCGGAGGAGCTCCCTCTGGCTGTTGGTAGCACTCAAAGCACTCAGGCAGCCAAACTGTGTGGTTTCTGGAGGCTTCTATTGCACAAGACATCTCTGTATCCTTATGGATAAATCTGATAAAAACCATGCCCATTCTAAAGTATGAGTCCTGAGCGGACATGGGGATGGCCAATGGAAGCAGTCTGTTCATTGCTGAGGCCAGCAGGTAAAAGCAGCGCAGCACAGATACCTGTCTTGTGATTGTTACAAATGGCCAACATCTCCAAGTCACTCATTTGAGGGACTCGTGACAAAACCAAGGAATGCAAGCAACTGGGAACATCAAATAACTTGTAAGAGCTGCCTGCATTCCGGACTACTTACAGTCTTGAAAGAAAAAAGAAGGGCTAACCTGAAAGTGACTTCCCAGTAACGTATTTGACAAGAACACATTTCTCATTTTCAAGGTTTAAACTGTACGGCAACATCTTCTATAAAACAAAACCAGGCTGCCAAGATTTAAGACAACATGTACAAAGCAAGGCTCACACATGACAAATGGCTGTTTGAACCAACGACATTATCCACTGCTGCTTGGTAATAGATTTTACTTTTTGAATGGTTAAAATGGACCAACATTATAATTTATTTTCTAATATTCAAAATAGCTCCGAAATACAATAATACAGACTGTTGCCAGTGTGTTCCCTGCAGACTGATAACTTGGTTTTATGGATTTTAGGCAATCCTTGTCAACATGTATGCATTATTTCTTTTTCTAATCTACTTTTACACTGCTTGGCGTGTCAAGGATTTAAAGTAATTAATTTCAAGTAAACCGATATTATCCCATATTCCTAATAAATCTCTATAAAGCTGTAGGCATTTTGTAAGCACTAATTCAAAAACCAGAAATCCCACTCTCTGATTGTCTGTTACAGGGAAAAAGATGTAGCAGCAGACACAAGAATTAAATGCTTAATTAAAAACCCAGTGTGTAGCACTTTGTGGAAAGCCAAGCATTTGCTCCGTGTGAAGGAGAGAACTTTGGATGAACAGATTGCAAGGAAACGTTAGCATGCAGTAATTTTGGAGATGTGACTAATCTCAGACCTGTCTTACATTTATTGTGAGGTTCTCATTTTTTCTAAAGGATCAAATACATTTGCATTCTCTGGTTGTGCTTTCAGAGGCAAAATGCACTTTAGTTTCGGGTTTCTCCCTGCTTGTAGCTTAAGACAACAACACAGATACGTCATTGTTCCTCCTGCGATCCAACACTACACTGGAAGAATGAAATACAATGGTATTTGTTCCATTATTTTTCCATTTATCTGTTATTGCTGTCAACCTGATAATGAAACTGTGCTTAAACTAATAAATTGAGAGCAAATTTGCTTTCCAGTAGCTCTATCCTCATGCATTAATCTATTTCATAGACGTGAAAAAAAAAAATAATCAAGGACTTCTTTCTTACAGCCCTGCAGATATCTCTTCTAATTCTCAGATATCATTTTTCTGATATCCCCCAAAAAAGATTCTGTTTTGCTTCTTTGGATTCAATGTATGAGTTCCGCTGTATCCTTTTTCACAGCAGAAGTAAGTGAAAAAGCATGAGAATATGAACATAAGTATGAAAAATATTTTCTTATTTAATATTGTTAGAAAGATCATTTTCTACTGACGCTGACAAAAGAAGAACTGCAGGCCTCTGTACATAAAATCACTGAGGGTTTCCAGTTAGGTTATGGTAGACTGATGGTCTCACTGATGTTGGGCTGCCAGCATTCATGTTTCAAATACTCTAAGTTTCAGGACACCAGCTTGTTATTTATTTATTTACTAAATAATTCAATTTAAATAAAACATTTAAATCAGATCTTTACCTGAAAAAGATGGAGTGAAAGACAGTGCTATACAAGATTTCTGTTTTATAAAGAAGAACCGAGAGGGACAAATAACCGAATTAGTTATTCTGCTGGAAATTATTCATGGATAAGGAGCTACAAGTTCCTCAATGGTTAGACAGCTTAAGCAACACTTTGGGGTCAGCTGCTGATTACTAAAACGTCAGCATGTTGTTTCTTGGAGGCTGCTCCCAGCGGGAAGAAAAGTGTGTGAGACCAGCAAAAAAACTGAACACGAAGTCTCAAAGAATCAAATGACCAGTATGGATATATTAGCAGATGCAGCAGATGTGTTTTCATCTAAAATCCCTTCCCGTTATTTTTTCCTTAAGCATGCCAAAATGCAAATCCAAAACCTGGTATTCCATACATCTATACTTCATAGGTGCTAAGGAACAGAATGTCTGTCAATGCGGCTGGCCGAGTCTCAGATATAACTCAAAAGGCTTCAGAGTCATTTCTTGGAAAAGAAATACAATTTCCAGGAACATGCTGGAAGATTTGTGTCATGGTACCAGTTGTCCTTAAGAAACTATGGCTTGTGCTCAATGTCCTCTATACTTCCCTGACCGAGAGCAGAAGAAACTGAAACATTCTGTTACCTTTGGTAAGTCTGCATGCCTTTGGATGTACTTGTATCCAGAAGCATTTTTAGTACTTGGCAGGCTTAGGGATGAATAAACCAGTTTTCAGACTGCTTTTCTCTCTGGAGCTCTCAGGGATTGCTTGGCCCTTACAGTCTCAAACCCCGGCACATCTCTTTGAGGCATAGGTAAATTCAGGAAAAAAATGCTGCATCTGGTGATAATGGATGCCGTCACAGCACGCTGTTGCCTATGAGGAGACCTTTCTGTGGATTCTAGAAAGGACTTTCCAACTGGACTTTGTGGAAGGCATTCCTCTAGGCTGCTGAAACACCACAGCTTTGGCTTCTTGAATATCAGTGGTTGTCGTCAGCTTTAGGCAGTAAACTTGATTGTCCTTATCGGGATTTTTGAGAAACGCTGGTGGTCTCTTAAGTGTCCAGCTCTCTTTTATAATCCATGTGATGTTCTGTGCTCTTTCAATGACTGAAAGTCTTCTCAGTTTATTGAGATTCCTTTTTTGTTTGTTTGTTGCCAGCTCAAAGAACCCCCCATATGGCTTAACTCAAGGTATCACTCTCTTCTGGTCCAAAACTTCCATCAGCGCTCTTCTGCAAAGGGCAGAAGACATGGAAAATGCTTAACATTCTCCAGTCTTAATGATGCAGACTTCAGTCCTTGGGCAGTACCCATGGGTGGATCTTTCTTCTCCAGGACTGCTATGATGTCATTTGTAAGTTCCTGATCTAACCAGGAAGATACCATCTATGTTCAGATGCACTTCTGTGATAACAGATGCTGACTGAACCTGTGAACCCTTTACCTGTGACCTATTTTATTTTTCTCCCAATTTCATCACAAAGGTCATGAATGATACAAGATCATCTCTACACTGTACTTGCAAAGCATAGTCCAACACTATGAGGAAAACATGTCATCCTACCTGGTCCTATCACAAAGGTTATAGATATAGATAAATTTCTTACAGATGAATTTGGCTAATATCATCACAGTCTTTACATCAAGAAACAGAATTTGTGAGATCCTTTAGGCTGTCCAGAGATGGCCAAGCTCTGATTTTAAAGCAGCACTGCTGGCTGCAATCACTAACTACTGTAGGATCAAACCAGCATCATGCAGGTCATTTTTTTCATTAACAGAAACTATTCTAATGAATTGTTCCCCGGGAATGTTTGTAGTAAGAGTGATCTGTCCTAAGGTTTCATCGCTTCCTTTACTTCGTGTGGTCATGTTTGGAACCCAGTTTTAAATGCCTCATCACTGCCACATCCTACCAGAAGTGAAGTCCTTATTTTAGATTTTGTTTGGACAGAGTTTCAGGTTGCTCATCACCGGACTTGTGGCAGGAATAAATATCTTCTAATTGAGAAGGGCCAGCATAGAGTTTTTATTTGGCAACTAAATACATTTTGCTGCTCTTTTCCCTACATTCTAAATAAGACTAGTGAAATGCAGTGGTCTGTTGAATAACTAACTTATGACTTGGTTGGAAGAAAATGGAGACAAGTTCAAAAAGCAACTGTTTCAAGGCTTTTTATTTTTTCTTTTTAAATGGTTTTCAAATTCTGTGCCAGCATGTCCAGATGCTTTTGGAGCATGGGATAATAGCACAGTACTGATTAATCTTGCTTGCTGCCTTGGCCTCTGAGAAGAACACATGATCAGCAGACTAAAAAAAAAAATCTTCATCCAGAAGTGCTAATTTGTTCCACTTCCTTTCCCTTCCCCTTGCAAGTACACGGTAGAACAAGCTGGAAACCACTATTTGCACTCCATGATGTGTTTTATATTCCTGTAATATCCACAAGGTAAGTTGACCATCCTCAAGATGACAATAAACCCAATTATTTGTTCACAAACTATGTATTGTCCAAAGAGTGTTCACTCACTCATCTGCAAAATCTTTTTTGTCACAAAACCCATTACAGACTCTTTGCAAATACCATTCATTTATCAATATAGGGTGTATCAGGATATGGATTCCAAATTTGAGAAGCTGTTTTCAGCTGAGAAACAGAATAATTTCCTGTTTGAGAAGCAGTTGCTAAGAAATTCTGTTCTTGTAGCATTTAAGAGATAGAAGTTTAATGTTCTGTGGTAGTCAAAACAGTAGAAAAACTCTATGATTTATGACATACTCCTCCAAACTGACAAAAATGTTATATTGTACTTTGCAGTTCTATACAGGAAATCCCAAGACTAATTAGTTCCTGTTTTTTATACAATTGCATTTTCAGAAATTGTTCCTGCTGTCACAGCTGGCCTTGGGACTCTGCACATATTTTCCCACACATTCGGTCTATCATTCATGTTCAGAGATAGCTATATTCCTTGCAAGCAAACAACAAAGGAAATTATCATTATCTGAACAATTATGACTCCTGAGACTTACTTTAATTATAATAGGGACAGCAAACCAATTCCAAGGATTGACTTTTTTTCCCCTTAGTTATGGGATCAGCAGTGGTTGTATTTAGAATTTTTTAACTGAATCTTTGTCTTCCTGCTCTTTTTAAATACTTTGTATTAAAAATAATTTGTATTCTTTTTTTTTTTTCCTATGATTTTAATTCATAGTTCACATGGTTGTTAACATTTTGAAGATATGTTTTAATTTAAGTGAAGCTGCCAAGTATCTTTTGAAAGATATCGACACACACTATTGTTAGTATTTTCTATGAGTTATTTCTCTGCTGGAACACCTACCAGAAAATATGGAGAGATACAGAAAGAAACCTTATCTTCTGCCCTCTCAAAGCAAAGAAAATAAAATAGGAAAGGTTACTTTAGTAACTTAGTGGTTACCTTACTAAAGGTAACCAGTTCCATATGAATTCAGTGATTAATGCATTTTTCAGAACTAAGCAATGGCGGTTCAGTGTAATTTAAATGACAGAAATGTCAATCGCTGATTTTTTCCTCTCTTCATGACAACAAAATTTATATTAAGAATATCACTTTTTTGAAACTATGAGCAATTGTACACTTTCTCTTTCTCTTCTGTACTTTCTCTTCGTCATTACTTCTGATTTTTGTTTTTTAGATTCTTTCTCCCTCCACTCTTCTATCTTCTTTTTGTTTCTGTTGTTCTTACAACCTATTCCTTTTATATCATCTTACTTCTTTTTCTAGCTTCCTTGCAGAATGCATCCCACTCTTTCAGACTAACCACGGGTGTGAAGCTTTTCACAAAGCATAACTCCCAACCACACCTGCATAGGCTACTACTGAGTATTACAGCTAACACTCTTCTTTCCCACTGGAGTCCTGCTCTCCTTTGCAGGTTCCAATCCCTAACAGCATAAGGGAAGGAGGTGCCTGGTAAACACAGAAAAATCCTGTGACCTGGCCATTACACACATTTTAAACCCTTGATAGAAGTACAAACCCAGTTTGAAATGAAATCTAACTGTGCTTTATTTAATTTTTCAGTCTTAGAGGAAAGAGGGCTTTTCTGAGCAAATTGGGTGAATGGAATATTGTATGTCTCTTGGTATCCCACAAGCTATGTGCTGGCTATATAATGCTTGAAATCTCTTAGCAATTTAAGGCTTTGAAATTCAAATGCAGCTCACTTCCACTGAATCTTGAATTATAAAATGTCCTAGTGTCACACTGAAATGGTCTGCTGTACCATGGCAGATAAGTTCTAAAAAGAGAAAATAACCTGTTTTGACAACATTCAGTCTGACGTTGTTTATGTACAGAAGTATGAATACTTTGAGAAATTTTGGTTTAATTTTGGTTTAAGTGAGAGGCTTTAATGTCATGCTGAAAAGCAGGGAAGATGAGAGAGGGTTATGTGCTAGAAACTGAGGGAATCGCTCAGACTTTTCATGACTATCTGAAGCAAAGTTAAAGTTTGAAATGTCCATGTGGCTGTTTGACAAGTTGTTCATCTTAAAATTCAGAGAAAGAAAAGCAAAAACTGATTCTTACAAATGGGATTGAATGACAGCGCCAAGCTCTACACAGTGTCCCAAGCAGATTTTGCATCTAGCATAAGCCTGGCTCTGTTTTTGTTCTCTGGCATGAAAGTGCTTTCTGTAATAATCTGATACCAACATGGCAAGGCCCTGACCTTATCTGGGTCAGCAGCACAGAATTTCATACTTAAATGACCAAATATTAGACCACCAAACACACAAGCAAGCAAGTAAAAACAGCATGTAAATCTCCTTTCTCATCAGGATTACTCTATTATCTTGAAAGTCAAGCCTCTTTAGATGTGTGAAAATGACAGCAGTAATTCAACCCTGCAAGATGCCTCAAAAGCAAGACAAAAAGGCAAGCATTGGAAGGCAGGCAGTTCTCCTTCCTAAGTGTTCTCCTGCATGATTTTGGGTGTAGTTTTGGGATAGAGCAAGGCAGCAAAGGGCACCTACCTGGCTGTAGCTCTGGATGGCACCTCTGGGTTGAGTGCTGCGGGCTGGGAGTGGGGCGGCTGCGGTCTCGCCCAGGGCGAGGGTCTGGTTGCTGTGGTAGCTGGCTGAGTACTGGAAGGAGCCCTCAGGCTTGGTGTTGAGCTGCAGAGCACTCTGCGAGAGGAGGCTGGGCCCTGCAAGGGACAGGTTGGAGCCGTCAGTCTCAGGGAAAGAGCACGCACCTGGTGGCATTTGACATTATCAGTGGCATGCCACATTTTAGCTTTTCAGTAATAAAAGTCAGGGAAATTAAAGTGTCTCTTTATCACTCAGTCATCAGTCTTACACTGTTCAAGCCACAGACCACAACTCTTTCTTTGTTTTCTTCAAGAAAAACAAACCATCTGGTAAAGAAATCCTAAGCCAATTGATAGAGAAGTCATGTTTTACAGCTCAGAATACTTTACAATTTTTTTCCCCCTGCATAAGCCATGTTCATTTCATTTAGTTACACCCCACTGGTCAGTATAAGAAATGCCAATTTGTCCTTCCCCATGCCCAAGCACATGGCATCTATTGACTGTAGCATGCACACAGGGATGCAATACTTCAGTGCCTGTGGAGATAGATGACAGCTGTTAAAATATTAATAGCTCCTCTCATCGTGTCAGGCTCACCCTGATCTTGGTGAATTTTTGATGACTATTTTGTCAGCCTACCTTATCTTTCCCCTTGTGGACGCACACAGTAGGAGCGCAGAGCACAAGCAATGATCTCAGATGAGGGCTGCCAAAACCAAAAGGTGCTTGCAGCATCAGGAAAATGAACAGTGACACTAATATTCCTCTACCTGTTCTGCGAAACAAAAATGTTCCCATATTTGTAGAATCGTAGAATCATAGAACCTTTTGGAAGGGACCACTAAGAGTCATCTAGTCCAACTCCTCTGCAATGAACAGGGGCACCTACAGCTAGATCAGGTGCTCATGGCCCCCTCCAGCGAGACCTTGACTGTCTCTAGGGATGGGGTATTAACACATCTCTGGGCAATCTGTGTCAGTGCAACCTCTTCATTAGGTTTGTTAGTGCTGACATAGCATCAACTGACATAGCAGACTCTGATTTTGGCTGTGAGAGCATGTACTGTGCAGGGAGAGGCTTGTTGCCCAGCCCTGTCAACGTGGTTGAGACAGGCCCTCGCACTGCTGATGGTGAGTTTCTCCTGGCCCCACACCTTATGCCATCTCTGATCAGTGTCTCCTAGTTTTCCAAGAACGAGTTGCCTGCCATGGTGTCTGGGTCCACCAAGGGAAGTGAAAGAAGAGGAATGACGAGGGTTAGGCCCTGGGCACTGCACACACTACAAGGCAGCGTGGCTTCACCCAAACAACTACAATCTGTATCCAGTAGCTCTACAGGGATGAGACGTTCAGGTTCTGGTTAGCACAAACACGCTCATGAGAGCACAGCAGGTGGTACAAAGCTTAAGGGATGGGAAACAATGTTGATTTAGCTCTGATGGAACACATGAAAAGTTCAGTTTTAAAGAGAATTACAATGGTCAAATTTCAGTGAATTTTACGGTAAATAATTCCCAATACATCTCTAATACAAATGCCAAATTTTATATCCTGTAAGTCTTTGCTAAGAGGATGTACAGCTGCTCTACAAAGATTTCCATTTAAAAAAATGTGCAAACAACCCTCCTCCTCTCCAAAATTTACATGGAAAATATTTTTTCCCCAGCTTGTTCCTCAGAAATGGCAGACTCGTTATAACTGACATTTTTCAAAATCCAACCTGGATGGCTCATATTATTAAAAAATAAAATAAAATTGCAGTATGCTGTATGGTAGTGGAAGTGTTCACACTGAAGTGCAGACAGTGATTAAGACACTATTTTATATAACAACATAGATTATTAATTGCCAAGTTGATCTGATTAATCATATTCCAGGTATAGGAGAAATTGAGAAAGTAAGTTCTGGTCCTTGTCCTTTTCTTACAAGTGCAGAAGGAGATAGCTCTGTATATGTTGAGAGATTATTAAAAATGTATCACATATTTAGGAGAGTTGAATTAATCCTGCCTGGGTGCTTATTAATCCAATATACTGGAGCTTTCTATGCTGTGACTCTGCAGTAAGTTCTTCTAGACATTCTCCATTTAACAGGGTTTGTTGCCGATCTTGTTCTTTAATAAAAGAAACACTTTCATAGATTTATTTAAAGATCATAAAGAAAATAGAGGCTTAGTTTAAAAATACATATTTTAGACTATGTGCTAATCTTTCAGATTTTGAATTTTCACTGAAAATTTGCCTGCGATCAAATGATGTGATTAAGTGCAGAAAATTCGTAAGAGTGTAAATTTCTCAGGAGGCTAAAAAAGTTGAAGTGAGAAAGAAATTTTTGCACATGAAAGTGTTTGAACTCATTCTTAAAGTAATTATGCTATGACATTTCTAAAGCTTAAATAATGATTAAACTATCACATGCTATGAACTCAATATGTTTAAATTTTCATTGCATCTGGCTTTGAAGTGTTCCTTTTATATTACTATTGCTCATCAGGGGATGTACATAGCTGGCATTACATACATGGGTTCCCTGCACAATTTAGCTTAAATGCTTCAGCGGAAGTTAAGAAACGTATTCAAATGGGGAAGAAAAAAAGCAAAAAAGTTTGAAGCACACAGTTGAGAACTCACCAAATACTGGATAATCATTTTTATTTTGCACCTTAACAAGTAGAAATGAGCTAATAATTTACACACATTTGAGTAATTAAAAATCCATTTGAAAGAGACAGATATTTACTTTAAAATAAAACCTCTCTCAATCAGAATGAGAATAGTGGCTGCTTGCCTGCAAATAACTAAGCCTAAAAAAGCATGCAAACTGCAAGGTACATTTGAGATCAGAGTGATCTGCAAAAAAGACAAGTTCCTTTTACAGGATTTAGTGACTACAGGCCTGTCTTGTCTGATAGGGAAAAGACAGATCACCTCTCCCATCAGAATTCTTCAAATTTCAGTCTGAAGGCACAGAGAAACCCCCTGAAGAGCCTGCAGCTCGACAGAAGAGAAGAAAATGGTTTGTTTGTGTACAGCTGTACACAGGCTTATCAATGGCTCTCCACAGCAAAATACTCTTTCTACTCAGCAACAGTTTCAACTCTGCTGTGTTAGTTTAAAAACCTGTGTATGCAGTTATTTTTCTTTTGTTTTCAGAAGAGTTCAAACAGCTGAAAATTCTCTATTTTCTGTCAGGTACTCTAAATCAGCAGCATGAAGAAGACTAGGCGAGAAAAAAAACAGGGGAATGATGGACATGCCTACAACAGGGAGCCAAACCAAAGTGAAACCTTGAGGGGATGGAGAGCAAAGGGCTTTGCCACAAATCAGAGAAGACAAAGGGGGTTTTCCTTTTCAGTCTGGAAACCTGTCTGGAAGGCATGGCAGAGTTAGAAGAAGAGTCACCCATTTGGAGAGCGAGGGAAGGGGAGAGGCTTCTTCCGAAGCTCTTCTCACTGTATTACCCACCCTTCTTACTGGCAGTTGCGTTACAGGTTGGTACTTTTTCCTCCATTGAAAACCTAATAGTTTAAGAGGTTTGGAGTGCTTGCATGCACATGTCAAATTTAATTTGTGCAAAACAGGGAAGGGGAACAGATCCACTGCAGGACTCTGGCCTACCTTGAATCCCACCAAGTGAGGATTGCAGCACAAAGCCTGTTGCTACCTTCCTGCCATATTGCATTTGAGAAAACAAGCAGATTATGGCATTACTATAAACGAGCTGATTCAGGGCACTAAATATGGTGTATATGGCTGTAAATATAAGCCACTGATGCACAGACTCCATTGCAGAAGAAGTGTGTGACACTGATCTATTGGCAATGGGGGATCCAGGAGCTTGCAGAAATGTGAGGCAGAAGCTGCTGCAGGAGCCTCCCCAGGCACAGGCAGGGATGTTACTGTGCCCTATGCCTGTTGGGGTAAGGTGCTGCATGGCAGGATTTCATCTCTGACCATTGTTCTTTCTGGTTAATAACACAATGTGCAAGGCTGCAACAAGCTGCAGTGTAGATATTTAAAAAACAAGCCAAGAAAATGAGTGGTCTTATATGATAACATTATTATTAATTCAGGGACATGAAAGTAACATTTGGTCACAGGAAATCAAAGTCTCGCAAAGAATCTCGATTATAGTCATCCATGGCTATGTTAAAAACGGGAAAAAATTATGAAAACATTTGTCCTTGTATTATTTTAATCTTTTGCCTTTCCTTTCTGCTTTATTGAGACCACCTCCTCCTCCTCCTCATTCCAGTCTTTGGTGAGCAAAACAAAACAAGCCAGCCAAGTGAAAACAAACAAACAAAAATCCAACAAAATACAAAACATCATTTTTGAATGATTTTTTTTTTAAGTTACCCTTGTACAGTTAGTGTTTGCATTCAGAGATATTTTATATAGCTATTTCAGAGCAGCAGAATACTCAGAATACTAAGGTACTTCTAAGTACCTGCAGGCACTGTGTGCACTCTAACAGTGCTTTCTAAGGCAGTAGAGAAATAGTGACAGAAAGAATACACAGAAACTTTTAATTCTACTTCATATTTAAGATGTGATAAGAGATTATAGACCATTAAGGGGAGAAAAAAAAAAAAATAAAAAAAAAAAAAAAAAAAAAGGAAAGAAAAAAGGTGGTAATGGAACAAGAAAATTGCACCAGCAAAATTATCTTACTATAGTTCTCTATTTAGGTCATACTTTATATTTTCTCTTTTTCAAACAGTGTTTGCAGTCTACTGAAAACAAGATAAAAGAACCTTTGTACTGTTTGGAACAAACATATAGTTTGATTTTAAATGGTATTATGTTGCTCAGCACAAAAGCTAGTTTCACTTGTACAACTGACTTTTTACCTACATTTCATCAGAACAATCCCACTTACACATTGAAGGAAGGTCCAGAATGTCCTTTTTTGAATGCTCAGAAACCCTCAAGGGCTGTATAATCAATGGATATTAAGATGTTATAATCACAAAAAGAACAAGAGAGTCAGGCAAAGTAGACTAAGATAACAAGAGAGAATAAATGGAAGGCTTACCCTTATGCTAGGCTCACCTATAAAACACCAGAAGAGGGGATCTCCAGACAAGATCCTTCCCCACTGGTAGCCAGCTC